ATAAGTACTATTATAATAAATACTACTATAATAAGTACTATTATAATAAATATTATTATAATAAATATTACTATAATAAATATAATAATATATACTATTATAAAAGATAATTTCGTTAAAGATAATTAAGTAAAGACTTCTTCGATATACTATAAAGAAAAAATATTATTAATAATATTAATATTCTTATAAGTATCTATATTATAAATAACTTTATTATAAAGAACTTTAATTATAGCTTATTAAGTTTATATATTAATTATATTTTAATTAATAGTAAGATTCTAAATACGAAGTTTAAGTATTATTAAGATTAATAAAATCTTTTTATTATCGATACTAAATTAAATAATTCTTTCTTTTTATTATAGTTATTTTTAAGTAAAATAATTCTAAGATTACTATTTAATATATTTACGCGCTTAATATATAGCTTAGTATTTACGATTTTACTCGCGTCGATAATTAATAAAATTATCGATATTATACGAGAGTAGTCTTCTACGCTTTATAGAGTTTATCGTAAAAATTAAAGTCGATTTAAATTCGATAATAAAGAGAATATTTTTTATATCTATATTCTTTAATATTATCGAATTTAAATCGACTTTAATTTAAAGAATAAAAGCTAATATAAATATAAATAAAATATAACTTATAGAAAAATTAAAAAGAGCTTAGCGAAAATAATTATATATCGTATAGATAGCTATTTCGTTTTAATTAAGAATTATAAGATATTAAGCTACTTACGAAATAAATTATAAGATTCTATACGTAATAATTATTTACCTTAAAATCGAGAAAAGATATCGACTTTAATTATAAATAACTTTTTAATTAATAAGAGAAGTTATAATAAAAATAATATAATTAGAATCGTCGTAAGAAGCTCTTTCTAATGAGCTAATAAGTTAAAAGGATTTTCGCTATTCTTCGTTTAACCTTAATAGGTTTTTAACTACTAGAGATTAAAGGAGAGCGGGAGAACAAGAGAACACGACGATATTAAATTTCTTATGATTTCTAGAAACGATTCTTACGTAAACTCTAGGACGAGTTTAATCGTTCTATTATAGCTATAGTACGTATCTAAGAACGTTTGCAGTTATTCAGTCTAAGGAGAATACTATAGGTGGCTAGATATAGGGTTGAAAGTCTAGACGCCTCTTAGCCTTAGTGATAGATACGTTCCACGGTTCACTGCAGACTATGGTGGACCCTTTTCTAGCACCTACTGACCACTTCACGAGGACTGCCTAGATTGTTATCTTCAACACTAGTTCGTCGTTCCGCCTTGTACGTTGCGTCTGGATGTTCGGCGATAACTCCTCTTCGAAGGTACAAGTAATGTTCGGTAGTATAGGAGGACCAAAAACGGCTCCGAAATATTTTGAGCGGCTCGGCCCAGGTGTGAAGGACTTGTAGGGGCCTGAGCATCCCCGAGGTCCGAGAGCAGGTGGAACATCTATGTTGGTTGCACTTGATTGGGCAGCCAAAAGTACCCCTCATTTCCCCCTTTCCCCTCTCCCCGAACCCCCGAGCCCCCAAGCCCTCCCACAATTTTCAATCTTCTCCGCCTTGGCCCAACACCAAAGTCGATTCCATGGCATGACCTCAGGGTATCCTCCTCACGCATGAGCGAGCCGCGGGCAAATTCGGTCATAACATCCTTGTGAATGCTTTCTAGTCACAAAAACCAGGCGCGATGAATGGTCCTGTAGTTGCGGTCGAGGATGCCTCGAACGCATCTGCGAAGCGAAAGCTGGCCTCGCCGGACGATGCACGCCACGAGATTAAACGTCGCGCTGCACGAGCCTGCCAGTCGTGCAGAACCAGAAAGGTTCGATGCGATATTGTTGTCAGTCAAGGGCGCTGCACAAATTGCAAGTTGGATAACCTCGAATGTATCCTCTTGAGTTCGAAGAGAGGGAAGAACGACACAACCCAGAAGGAAAACACAACCTGGCTACCGCCGGTGTCACCAGCTTCTACCAGAGATACGAATGTCGCACCCCCAGCCATCATTAACGAAGCACGTCAAGAATCTGCTATCCCTTCCTTACCTATCACAACGGTGACCGACGATGTTCCAGTATGCCTTACGTTCGATGACGAGGACATGCACGATATGACTGAACCTCATATGGGACCGAGCAACGGCTTCAACACTCCTGAAGTTGGAGAGAGTACCGTTGTTGGTCACTTTCGTTCGCAAGATAACTCTCAAACGGAAACCTTCGCCCACGGCAGAATTGGAGCCGTTCCGCAGCCACTGTCCGCCGCTTCCGCGTCAGAGTCGACTTTCACGGGCTGTTATACCAGTGATTCATCGATGGAGAACGACCTGCCGTCCTTCATAAAACCTCTACCAACGAATATTGATCCAGAAGATCTGAAATATCTGGCAAGAAAAGGAGCATTCATTGTGCCTGCAGCAGACCTACGTGCCGAGATTCTCCGAAGCTATGTCTTCACTGTCTATCCCTTCATGCCTATCTTGGACTTGAAAGAATTTGTGGACATTGTGCTGAACCCGGATAGCGGCGGCAAGGTCAGCCTCCTTTTATTCCAAGCCGTCATGTTTGCTGGCCTGTCCTCTCTGAAACAGGAAGTCATACAGCACACGGGATGCAAAACATTGAAGCAAGCGCGCAAGACTTTCTTCACCAAGGTTCTTTCACTCTATGATCTTGGTATCGAGCGGCAGGATACAGTTGTATTGCAGTCTCTGTTGCTAATGAGCCTATGGTATGAGAAGTGGGACGATCGGAAACACACTTGGCACTGGACGGGGCTAGCACTCTCGCTTGCGCAAAGCATGGGCTTGAACCGTGGAGCAGGCTCTGCTAACCTCCCACCGAAAGTGCGGCGCTTGAGAAGAAGAATTTGGTGGAGTTTGTACATTCGCGACCGACTGATCGCACTTGGTACACGACGATCCATGCGTATCAAGGACGAAGATTACGACGTGCCACTGCTCGCTATCGAGGATTTCGATATCGAGCCACTCAACGGACCCTTTGGTGCTCCTTCCAACGGATGGCTTATGGGTCGCGATGCAAATCAGAGCAGAGGGCTCACGCTCATGTGTATCGAGCTCAGCAGGCTATGTATATGCATTGGCCATGTGCTTCAGTCCCAGTACACTACTCTAGGCGAGCGATCCCCACTCACAAGCACCCTGATGGTCGTCCCAAAATCTCCGTACGAACGTGCCAAAGAGCTTACGAATCGTGACAACGAGCTGGAGCAGTGGTACCAAGGTCTCGACCCACAGATCCAAAATGTTGCTCATGATTCGCCCCGGGATCCATCGACCAACTCGCTGGGAATTCATTGGTCGATACTACAAGTGATACATCAGACAGCAGTGAGCATTCTGCACCGCCCACAGATCCTGGAACCTTGTCCAAGTGGCTCAGAAGGGGCACAGGCACAACATCTCTCAAGAGAAAAGGTGGGAAACGCAGCGCGGAAGATTACAAAAATCATGCACGCTATGCTGCGACGAGACCAGGTGCGATTTCTGCCTACAAGTGGATTGACGGCGCTTCTGTCGGCAAGCCTGGGCCACATGTTGGAGATCAAGTCCAACGACGAAAATCTCCGAGATGCAAGCATATTTCGCTTCTACCAGACTATGCAGGTTCTGCAACGACTTCGCGAGATATATGCTGCCGCTGATTCGGCTGTCTCATTCCTGGCATCGGCGGTCCGGAAAGCAGGCATCAGTGCGCCCATCCAATTGGCTTCGCAAACGACTCCGTCCTTCATGATCGCAACGACAAGAAAGGAGACCTTAGGCGCAGTAGCACTCCCTGAGCCTGGTCTGACAAGTGACCCAGTACCCACACAACGACCAGCATCGATGGATACCATCATACATCTGCAAGAGAACCAGACCAATCAGCACGACGCTTATGCGGGTAGTACGAGGCAGACAGGTTCGGAGAATGCGCAAGCTTCTACACTACCAGACAAATCCTCCGGCAACAGCCACGACCTCATGGGCTTCCAGACAGAAGGCACACTTACCCATGGCAGCGCTGCAGATGCATTGAATGGTGCTCGTGGAGGCGCTTTTCCGTCGTCCGGGACGTATTATGACACTGAATTCAACATGAGCTTTCATGATATGGAAAGTCAACACCCACGGGAGTTAGGTGCCGCAGCTCTACCAGATCCGCTATTGCATTGGGTGGTCAACGAAGAATTCTTCCATTTAAACAGTAGTCTCGACCATGTCATGAGCGAAGAACCGATGGGTTTCAACTACGACATTTGCGCCGACGCTTTTGGACTGCTTGATAGTCTCGTGATAGAGACCAACGAAACCGACACCATCACCGTCAACAGACCGAATGCAGACTGATTTGCCCACCCCAACCTTTTCTTCCTCAGCCTTGTGCTATTGGAAGTTTCGATGATCTCATGATACAAAGGCAAGAGCATTTTCATATCACTGCTTGCTTGGCAAAATCAGCAATGGTTTCTTCTGAGTAGCCAACCTCTCTGAGGATTTCCTTGCTGTGTTCGCCCAAAAGTGGCGGTTGGCGTCGAATTGTGGGCTGCGTATCGCTGAATTTAACAGCCGATCCTGCTACAGGTTAGGCCACGAATGAGCGCACAGTAGATGGAGGAGAACTTACCCAATATTGAAATGGTACCCGACTTGGCGGCATCTAGTGGGATTTGTTGTACCATATTCCGGGCATCGGTTTGAGGATGACTGAAAACTTTGGCCATTGTATTGATGGGGGCATAAGGCATTCCGCTTCCTTCGAATACCTGGACCCATTCGTCGGTAGTCTTTTCAGCGAAGGCCTTGTTCAGCAAAGGGAACAACTCGTCTCTGTGCTCGACGCGATCGGCGTTGGTGTTGAATCTAGGATCATCAGGGAGATCTGAGAGGCCCAAAAGCATGCAAAGGGCCCTGAACTGCTTGTCGTTCGTGGCTCCAACGACAAAATATAGGTCTTTCGACTTAAAGGCATCGTATGGGACGACGCTGGGATGTTGTGTCCCCCAGCGCTCGGCTTCTTGACCCATATTTAACCATGTCGAAGCGACGTTGGTGAGCAGGGCAATTTGTGATTCAAACAGAGATGCGTCAATCTTCTGCCCGCGGCCGGTCAATGTGCGGGCGTGCAGCGCAGCTATGATGGCACCGTGTGTGAAGAGACCGGTACACATGTCGGTCAAACCAAGGCCTGGGCGTACAGGAGGTCCATTTCGCTCCCCCGTGAGGTGCAATAAGCCCGCCTCAGCACCAGCAATCATATCGTAACCGGCGCGCTTTGCCATTGGACCGCTGGGCCCGTATCCAGACACACTGGCATAGATGATGGCGGGGTTGACCTTGCTGATCGTTTTGTAATCGATTCCAAGCTTTTCCGTCACTCCAGGTCGCATGTTTTCTACCACCACATCGGCGTCTTTTGCCAGTCGTATGAAGGCCTCTCTGCCCTGCTCGTGCTTCAAGTTGAGGCAAATTGACCGCTTATTCCGGTTGACTGAGGCGAAGTAGTTCGACATTGGTCCTGAGCCGGGCTTCCACTGCGCATCTTCGCCTTTCACTTTCCAGTGCCTGGTGTCGTCGCCTTTCGCTACATCTTCGACCTTGATGACGTCGGCACCATAGTCAGCAAGGATCTGAGTGCAAAAAGGCGCAGCCAGAACTCTGGACATGTCCAGAATCTTGACGCCTGTTAATGGCCCATTTGCACATGCCTGAGACTTTGAAGGCGACGTCGAATATAACCTGAAGTGTGGTTTATGACCGCAGACCTCGTGTGTAGTCCGTGTATAACAAGTTCTTGGCACGTGTTTGGCCATTTTTGCGTGCTCCTGTTCGAGTGCTTCACAATATGTGCCAACACTTTTCTGAGACGGTCAATTGAATGATACACTCTACTATTTAAGGTATCCAGGCGCCTAGGCCTCTAGGGCCCTCACGACTAAGCGTGAGGAGGTAGTATGAGGGTGATCGATATCCGGCATTTCTGATCGGTCGGTAAGAAATGCCAAGTCTGAGCAATTTCGGAGCAACGATTTTAGAGACCTCGGTTATACCCCAGTACCATCAAGGTCAACCACTACGAACTTTACCAGGTGAGTGCTCCGGTGCACTAGCAACGGCACAAGGCTGGTATTGGAGCAAACACTGCTATCTGCCTGAAATCATCTGCCCACCAAGGCGACCAAAGTTGACAGCTTCGAAGCAGACAACATGAGAACGACACCTCATCACTGCCAGCTGTGGCGCGCGAGTACTGTTATTGGGCGTTTTTGCAAGTGTCCGCAAGCACGACCCTGGTTTTGTGCGATCTCTGCCCGAAACGCATCTTCCAACGTCAGAATCATCGAAGTTGGACCGCGCGATGGATTGCAAAATATCAGCACCAGGGTTCCAACTTCAACAAAAGTCGAGCTTATCAAGAAGCTCGCCGCCACCGGACTGAAAGACATAGAAGCAACATCATTCGTGTCTCCCAAGTGGGTACCGCAGCTGGCAGACGGAAGAGAGGTTATGGACCAAGTCTTGCCCCTGGCGGATCGTGAATCCTTACGCTTTTCAGTTCTGGCGCCAAACATGAAAGGTTTTGAGAATGCTCTAGCGGCTGGCGCGCGGGAAATCGTCGTCTTCGCTTCCGCCACGGAAGCTTTCAGCAAGAAGAACCAGAATTGTACCGTGGAACAGGCCCTTGAAGCCGCATCAGTGGTGGTCAAGCGTACCAAAGAGCACAATATCTGGGTGCGCGGCGTTGTATCATGCATCTTTTCGGATCCCTACTCAGGGCCCACAGATCCAAAGGATGTAGCATCCGTGGTGAAGCGATTCATGGAAATGGGCTGTGACGAGGTCGGTCTTGGGGACACCCTCGGCGTTGGTACGCCAAAGCTTACACAGGCATTATTGGAAGTGATCCTAAAGGATGTGCCAGCCGACAAGCTTACTGGTCACTTTCACGATACGTATGGTCAAGCTATTGCCAACGTTATGAGGTCTTACGACATGGGGTTGAGAGCTTTTGATGGCAGCGTGGCTGGGCTTGGTGGTTGTCCATATGCTCCAGGTGCCAAAGGCAACGCTTCCACAGAGGACATTGTGTACACATTGGAGAATTCTGGCATCGATACGGGCGTTAATCTACAGGAACTTGCAGCGGTGGGCGAGTGGATTGCTCAGCAATTGAAGTTGCCAAACAACAGCCGGGCAGGAGCAGCATTGATGGCAAAGCAGCGACAGACGTCAGTTTCATCCACTGGAAACGGCTCGAAACCAGAACATCTATCAGAGCCCGCTACAGGTAGATCCCAAGGACAATCAAACCCATCACTCTCACGCACTTGGACGGTTTTGAAGAAAGATGAAGGATACACGGCGTCGAGGGCTCACAGTGCCGTGAAGATCACACTGACTCGACCTAAGAATGGCAACGCCATGACGACAGAAATGCTAGAGTCTCTGACTCGCTTGTTCAAAGAACTGTCAACCGACCGCTCTGTCTTTCAGATCGTCCTTGCCGCCGAAGGTAAATTTTTCTGTACTGGTATGGACCTGACCGGCGGTAGCAGAGATGACAGTTCCAGCTATCATGACAAGATAGTGGCTCTATTTGAGTCGATTGATGATGCACCCCAAACAACAATTGCAGCAATTCATGGCCCATGCTACGGTGGAGGCGTCGGCCTCGGCTTTGCTTGTGATGTGAGATTAGTGTCTGAAGCAGCCAGATGGACACTCTCTGAAGTCAAGCTTGGGGTGAGCCCTGCTATCATCTCAAAATACATGGCTCGAGAATGGGGGTTTGCATTCTTTCGAGAGGCTATGCTTAGTGGCAGAGAAGTCACGGTGCAGGAACTATCACGTATTGGCACGATACATGGGATTGCGCAAACTCAGGACAAGCTTAATCTGATGGTAGAAGAGTACCTGGATGATTTGGCACATTGTGCACCTCAGGCTGCTGCGACGTGCAAGGAATTGGTACGGCTGGCTTTCAAAGGTCCGGACTCCCGTGAGCAAAACGCCTTTGTTCAGCACACGTTCGAGAACATGTTGGCACCTGACAGTGAAGGACAGTATGGGATTCAACAGTTCCAGCAAAAGGTGAAGAAGGTCGATTGGAGGCAATACTGGAACCGTCGAGAAGCAAAACTATGATCAAGGGTTTCAAAGTATCCTTGCCAAAAGGTGCTGCTTAACTTGCAGCTCCTCTCTCGCAAGTCTGTCAATTCTCGACGAGGCATAGAATGCGACGCTATCATTTCTCCATCATGCCCAGCGGATTCAGTGTTGTCAGGCCCGGCCTTCTTGTCTCATGTACTCCCATCCTGGCGACTCATAGCAGGCCACTTGATACCTGGATCTGGCCAGGGCGCGTCAGTCGAGGAAAGGCCTTAAAGTGAATCACATTGCGACTGAATGTTGCTCACAAGAGCAAGCTATCCAAGTCGTAGACCATGAAACTTCCTAGCCTCTCAATCATGGCCGAACATTCGCTTGGCTGGCCAGTGGAATGAAAGAAAGCATGCAATCAATCGACCACGAGGCGTAGGAGTGCAAGGAGTTATTGGGTGTAACTTGATACAATGTCACTTCGACACATGAGAGTGTGCTTGGACCTTCCTATAACGTGGGAAGGCTAGATTGATTGGTATAGCATCAACCCATTCACCGGCTTTCGTCATGAGGAGTGAAGAGCAAACGCAGATCCCTTCAAGTGTCTCAATCAGCCAAAGCTCTAGTAGCTCTTGGCCAATCCCAACACCCTTTCTCCAATGTAATTATATATCAACTCCCTACTTATGGGTGCAATCCGAGGGAGCATAGCCTCTCGCAAGTATCGCTCGACGTGGTACTCCTTGGCGTAACCCATACCTCCATGGGTTAGGACTGCTCTTTCGCACGCTTCAAACGCGGCCTCGGCGGCGAGGAACTTGCCTGCATTTGCATATTCTCCTGTGCTGTGCCCCTGGTCATACATTCGGGCAGCCTGGTAGAGCATCAACCTGGCGGCTTCGAGCTTCATCCAAGAATCCGCTAATGGATGCTGTATGCCTTGATTCTTTCCAATTGGTCGCCCGAATACCGAGCGCTCTTGGGCATAGATGCAGGCTCGACGAAGTGCTGCATATCCGAGCCCTAATGCCTCGCCACCCACGAGGATCCTTTCGGCATTCATTCCATGCATGATTATCTTAAAGCCATTGCCTTCTTCGCCAATCAGATCCTCTTTTGGCACTTTCCAATTCTCGAAGAAGATCACGTTACTGTCCACAGCTGATCGTCCTAGCTTCGGTATTTCTGTCACCTTCACTGCGGTGCGCTCCAAATCCGTGTAAAACAGGGATAATCCGTGTGTAGGCTTCGTCACTTGATCCAGTGGTGTTGTACGGACCAATATGAGAATCTTGTTTGCCACCTGAGCAGTAGAAGTCCAAATCTTGGAGCCGTTGAGGATATAGTGATCTCCCATATTACGCGCGCTAGATTGTAGCTTCAATGTATCCAGTCCGGTATTTGGTTCCGTCACACCAAAGCAAGCCTTCTCTTTGCCTTGGATCAGCGGAACTAGCATTCGCTCTTTCTGCGCTGTGGTACCGAACTTGACCACAGGCTCGAGGCCGAATATGTTCATATGAACCGATGAAGCACCAGCCATTCCAGCGCCAGATTCGGAGATCGTCTGCATCATGACCGTGGCCTCAGAGATTCCAAGCTCCGAACCACCATATTCCTGTGGCATACAAATACCGAGCCAGCCATCGTTGGCCATGTCCCGATGTAGGTCTTGTGGAAATTCGTGTTTGTTGTCTTTTTCGAGCCAGTATTCATCCGGATACTTTGAGCATATCTTTGAGATGGCGTCGCGAACCTCATGCATAGATTCCGTCCAATCGGGCTGATTGTTTTGTAGAAACTCCGTGGCTTTTGCATACAAGGTTCGTCTTGCGTACGAAACGCGTGTCAAGGGATGAGAGCATCCTTTGAGCAAGGCAAGCTGCCCCACGGCACGGAGTCGCATGCTTCTTGTTGTCCTCTCAATGGAAGGAACAGTATCTATGTATACTGCTACTTAAGCGGCTGACAGGTTTGAATATGTATCTGAATGTTGTGCCAAAAAGGCTGAGCCAAATAACTCTGACGAGTCGATAGAAGGCTAGAGCGATGATAATCTAAGCATTTTGTATCCCGGACCTTGTCGAAAATAGTCAAGATCGCGCTAGAGGTAGTCTTGTTTGAAAGTGAGGCGATCCTTACCCAAATCACGTTAAGTAAGAGCATGCGCTGGGTCACGTGGGTGATGGAATCCACCCCTTTTGATGTGGTTGCCGAGGATATGAATGACTGGGCGCCTGCGTACCTCTCGGCTGCAAGCCACACTATTTCGGTCTCGGGATCTGCAGCCGTCCCTCACTGGCACCTCCGAGGTTGCAAGTAATCACCAGGAGGTGCAAGTCTTGTAAATCTCCTCCAAGTTTTGCTTGGGCATGAGTTGGACTCGTGAATAGGTTGAATTAGCTTACCAGGTGGTGCGCCATCCGAGTTGCTTTTGCAACGATTGATGGTAAAATCTACATCGATCACTTCACGGATTAGGGCTGGAAACTTCTTGTATGATCGAATAGCTACGGAAGCTCCTTTCAAAACGTGGAGTTAGCCTCAAATTCGCCATGGCCACTTCCATCACCACCACTTCGGGGGCAAACCACCTGACTCTTGAGCCGAACCCTACGCAGCAGCATCAGCAACGAACATCCACACTCAGTAATGTCCGGCCGTTTCTCATCGGAGGTCTTTCAGGCATGTTAGCGACTACATGCGTGCAACCTTTAGACATGATCAAAGTTCGTCTGCAGCTATCGGATCAAGGCACGAAACATACAGTCAAACCGTCATCACTGACGGTGGCACGGGCCATTTTGTCCCAAGGCCGCATATCTGATTTCTATCAAGGTCTTACTGCTGCACTCGCACGACAAATTGTTTATGGAACATGCCGATTAGGTTTCTTCGTCACTTTCGAGGATGCTCTGAAGACGAGAGCGGAGAATAACAAGACCACGTACGGCTTTCCGCAACGAGCATTTGCAAGTGTCTGTGCCGGAGGACTTGCAGCCGCGATTGGGAATCCCACTGAGGTTGCACTCATACGCATGCAATCAGATGGTCTTCGCCCTATCGGCCAGCGTGAGGGGTTTCGCTCCGTCTTTGATGCTGTTATTCGGATCACGCGATCGGAAGGGTTGTTCGCTTTGTGGGGTGGTTGCGCTCCTACTGTTATTCGAGCGATAGCTACAAATTTTGGACAGTTGGCCTTCTTCTCAGAATCTAAGCATCAGCTTCGTGCACACACAAACTGGTCGGAACAGGCTCAAACCCTGACAGCCTCTGCCATCGGTGGCTTTTGTGCGGCTTTCTTCAGCATGCCTTTTGATTTTGTGAAGAGTAGACTTCAGAGTCAGCAAAACGTCCAGGGAAGCCGGGGGAAGTATAATGGGATGATCGACTGCATTGCGAAGGTCGTCCGAGAAGAAGGCCTGCTAAGGTTTTACAGAGGATTCCCCGCATATTTTTCGCGGATGGCTCCTCATTCGTAAGTTCAAGTATGTTCGCTTGCCTGAAAATACTAATTGGGCTTTCCGTCAGTGTGATCTCTTTAGTAATCATGGACAAGCTGGCGTCGATATTCAAGTGAAAGAGTCGTCCTGCGACGTCCTGTGAGGGAGGAGCTCGAGTGATCCCTTCAACCAGGATGATTCGACGACCGGGAAGCATCGAACGATGTTGCGACATATACATCAATTAGTGCAGTATGATGAAGAAGCCACTACACTGTGTGGTGGAGGGTGCTCGCTGGCTTCGAATTCGGCTTTTTGAGGACACTTTTCACCACGTTCCAACATCTAGGCGTTCTTCGTATACGAAGTGGTACGTCAAAAAACAATCAGCTCCAGGTGGCACCTCTTGCCCACCCTTAACTATCTGAAATCACGCACTGAGGCTCGGTCACATACCTGAGATGACCAGACAGCGACACATCAACGCCGGATTGAGATGCACCTAATAAACTTGATCGTTACAGCAAACCAGCCCACGCCAATGGAGGTCGGACCGCTCATGCATGAAGAGAAGATCTTATCAGTGGTGTTGAATACACGTAGGGCGTGTTCGAAGGCAACAAAAAGCCAGTCATGGGAGAAATTGAAGTTGGCAGCAGAAGCAACCGCTGTTATTCAGCTATCGAAAAGGTTGATGCCTAGGGACGGTAGAGACTTCCTCCAACTAAAGCATGGCGCAGGAGAGGACGTTTCGTCGACCATCAAATCGGATGAAGCATACGGATAGCAAAACAAACTGAGAGTACGCAGGAACTGGAGGAAATTATAGCGGCAAAAGCTCAACAGATGCATGATCCAAACGGGACATACGTCGAACATACTCGCCGCCAAGAAGAAGTCAGGGCATGACAAGATGTGATCAAGAATACTTGAGAAATGTAGATGTAGCGGAATCAGTGTTCACTTTGCCAGTATCCTCTAAGGTCTCTCCATAGAATGTTGCTGTTGGTGTTGTTGAATGATAACACCCCTCGTGGTTTAAGGGCTCCCATTTCATTGCTTGATAGCCGAACGTAGCTTCGTGTCCCTGGCCATCCAAAGATCAAAGAGACATTGAAGCTTAAAGCCGCCCACCATCATCGCAGAGCCTTTCACCGTTTCGATTGATTGGGATTGGGTAGTGGAAGACAAAAAGGACCAATGACATTGTATACACGTGCAAGTTGCACGAAGAAGGATCTGGGCACCATACACTTGCATTGAGTTATGGAGAGCGTTAAGGTTACCGCTAGGCGTGATATCGTGACAAGGTTGGTGCAGATCACACAATGATGGCATTGAAGACGATTAAGCCTGAATTTAGAACACAATCTAAGATTGTACCGACCCTCCACATGCAAGAATAGCAAAGAAGGGATTACAAACTATGGTCATTACCTTCGTAACTGATGGTTGAACGGTGCTGAGCTCGAGCGGGAATCCAGAGTACGCAATCTGCGGTTATGTAGACTCCTGGAGGTGTGGTCATGAAACGGACCAAGAAGAGAAGCGGCGAGCTGATGTACCGGCAGTCGAGCCCACGGATTTCAAGCAGATAGCAGCAATAGTCAGTCTTTCCTCATTGGCAGAGAGCACCAGGAGATAGAACGTGTATGCTCTGAGGATGCCACCCCCGAGATCAGCCCCAAGTCCACTTGGGATGTTGCTCTGGGATCTGACACTCCTTCAGTAGCTCTCAAGACTAGGCCTTCGAGGGGCCCCAGAATTCTTCGTGGACTTACGGTGTGTAGACCATCATTCTCCCCCAGTCTAGAGGCCACTGAACATGTCAGCAGGAAACAAATGCTATCAAATGGCCCTCTCAAGAACTTGGCCCTTTCGCAATGAATGTACGGCTTCATATTCGTTCGTGTGGGTGCTGGGCACTATAACACAAGCACCGCTAGTGAGGCTTGAACAGCATCGCCGCATTCATTGAAGCATCTGCGTTGTAATGGGTTGATTACTAGCGAGCAATGTCTATCTCTATTGAGAGTCGACATGATATGGTTGACATTCGAGGTCGTAAGTATCTAACCAATCCATCTTTGTGAAAATCTGTGGAAATCTGTGGACAAGGACGCCTGTGAGCAATGATGAAAGGTGTTCAACTTGATGGGCACCGCGCGTATGATTGTCCACCTTCGGATTTAGTCATCTAACAGCTCTTAGAGGGTAAAGTGGTCGCGTAGCCGATGTAATCTTTACGTGGCTAATGTATTGATATTACTGCGTGGCAGTATTAAACCATCGGTGACAATAGGGGGAAATGCTTGCGGTTCCCCATTCTTGTATTGGGATCACGGAGTCGTTGATTGGGTTGTATTTGTGACTTGGACTCATCCTGATAAGTGATGTTTTACGGAATGAACCCGGAACGATATCTCGGGTAGCGCGAACATACCTTGATATATGGGTCATAGTGGCTGCACGTGATGTGTGGCTACTGTCGACGTAATGCACACATTCATTTTGATGAGCTTGCCACCCACGCAAAGTCGGCAACCCTCAAAAACTGCCCCGTTTACTTCTTTGAAGTGCTGTGGCGACGGCGACACTGAGATGGTGGTCGTACCGCCAACGGCTACGCTCCCATACAGTACATGGTACGGTTAATGCTGACCGAGGTTGTCCCGGGCATCGATCCGCGATAACCGGCGTATTCGTTCCCGTGCCTTTCCCCGGATGCTTATCTTCTGCTCCACGTTTGCTGGGATGTGCTAGGCGACTGAGCGTCGTTATCTGGGTCCTTCTGTTGGTCATTCATAGCTGAAACACAGATAACACATCTATCCGTGGTTTCAACGTTGTGCGTTCGTGTCAACTCCCCCCTCATGGCAAGCCCGTGGTCATCTTTGAAACTTTTCCCGCGAATGAATGGTCGATTGCGAACCGCTTTTGCGACTCCCATCTCTCTCGATTAGTTTCTTATCTACGGCAAGTACGCAGAAGATCTCCCCACCTTTACAGCACATACGCATATCGTCGATGCTCTTTGCGATTGTTGTAGATGCATCTCTTCAAATGTCCCCACATGCGGCGCTAGTCTTCTGGGTACAGGATGGGGGTCAAAAACGTATCCCAGCATGCAACTTCATATCTAAGTCTTGAGCACGCGATCTGAGAGTTCGGCTCAGTTCTGAACCTTTTCTCGAATTGATGATATAAACAGTCACAACGCAACCTTAACGTCTTCCTTTGGTTCAAGAGATCAGAATGACTGATTCCTCCATACACCTCCTGGACTTCCACTTACTGTCCGGAAGTCTACGCTCTGCGGTGCAGAAGACAAGCATTGGCCATGCAGTTCTCTACTTGTCTTTGGCCTACCTAGCCTCCATCATCCTTCCTCGCATCTACAGCGCATACTTCGGGCCCCTTAGCAAGATCCCTGGTCCCAAGCTCGCGGCCTTGACCAACGGATGGATGCTTTGGCATCTTTGGCATTTTGAGAAGTGTGCAGTGATTCATGAACAGTTCAAAAAGTATGGGCCAATAGTGCGAATTGGGCCCAACAACGTGGCATTGAACACCACCGAAGACATGAAGACCGTGTATGCTGTGGGAGCAAAGTTTCCCAAGAGCAGCTTTTACGACTCCTGGTCGTTCAATGGTTCACCCAACGTTTTCAGCATGAGAGACCAAAAGGCACATGCGGATCGACGCAAAGTGAGCTCGAAGATCATGAGCCGCAATGCTCTAGTGACATATTTACCCGAGATCAATCAACATCTGAGAGACTTTGTCCGCGTGTGTGGCAAACGCGCTGGTACCACCGTGGACTTTGTGACTCAGTTCCGTTTCTTGGCCCTGGACGTTGTCGGCTCTGCAGCCTTTGGAAAGAGTTTCAACCTTATGCGAAACGAAACAGAGCATCCATTCGTACATGACCTGGACGCATGCATTGCAGCTGTCCCACCTCGAGGCTACTTTCCCACCTGGGTGTGGTGGCTGATCACCAAGATCCCTACGAAAGACTGGCAATTCGCTCTAGGTGGCGAGAAACGTATTTGCGAATACTCTGGTGATATCGTTGACGAACAGGAGGAACGGATGAAGAAGAATGGTGGAGAGATGGTGAAGGAAGACGCAAACACCCTCGTCGGAAAAATGATTAATTATCGCGACGAGAACGGAGCCGGCCTTCCAAGATCAGCCATCGACGGTGAGATTGGAATCATCTTCTTCGCTGGCACAGATACCACTTCCAATACTCTAGCATTCATGTCATACGAACTTGCGAGACATAAACAGCACCAGGACAAGCTCTACGAAGAGCTCAAGGAGAGGATGCCGGTCAAGGGCGCAGTTCCAGATCTTGTTGATGCTGAAGCATGGCCATTCTTGAATGCCGTTATCAAGGAAACCCTCCGATTGTACGCTGTCGCTCCTTCGCAACTTGAGCGGGACGTCCCCAAGGGAGGCACACATCTCCATGGGAAATACATCCCCGAGGGAACCATTGTTGGAGTACAGAACTATTCCATTCATCGCAAAGCCGAAGCTTTTCCCGACCCAGAGACCTTCAAGCCAGAACGTTGGTTCAACGAGACCGAAGACATGAGGCGCCATTTCATGCCTTTTGGATTGGGATCGAGGATCTGCTTGGGACAGAACATCGCCATGCTCGAAATGAGACTTACAATAGCAACGTTGATTAGGAGCTTTGAGCTCACGTTGCCGGCTGATCACAATCCTGCGGATGTGGCACTAAAAGATTTCTGGCTTGCATTCCCTGCAAGTAGGAAGGTTGAATTAGTATGTGTTCCTCGTGAAGAGTGAGCACGCATTCTGATCAATGTTGGAGAATGAATTCATGGTAGCACCATACCGGAATATGATGGTAACCAGGTCTTGTGTCTCAAGTTTTTGCATTCTATATATTAACGAACAATTTCTGTCGTTTGTGGCGTGCCTCGTCAAGAGCTCTTAAAAGTAACCTCACATACGTAGAAAGTGTCCATATGAATAGACCGTCTCAGAGATAGTGGTAATGTACATTGGTAAGATAAGAAGCGAGGGAGCAATACCGTAAATTCACGAACTAAACTTGCCCTTTCCTTATCTGTCTTTTTGGCGAGCTTCAGTGCTAACAACGGAAAATACCGATGATCAAGAATATGTCCTACATAGCTAGATGTAATCTTGTATCTCTTTTATGCACAACAGGAGGTTTCATGTTCATCCTCTGCAGTAAGCTCAAATGATCCATATAGATTGCTATTTTCGCAGGCTGTCTAGTTTTGGAGTCACCAAGATTTTCAAATGCGCGTCTTTGTTGTGGATGAGTTCTTCGAAACCTTTCTCAACGAGGTCTTCCAACGATATCTTGGTGCTCACTAACTTCTCATAACCATGGAATTTCCCTAAGAGGTGTTACAAAAGAGGCCTGTAGCGTTGGAAAAGAGAAATCATACCTTCTGAAAGCATTTGCACGACTTCGGAAAAGTCTTGGTCATTATAAGCCAGTGCAGGGTGGATTGAAATGTCCTTGAACAAAAAGTCCCACATCGGCAAAACCATCTGGAAATGTTAGCATAAGCCAAACCCGAAATTCTTCGTAGACGTACCGGCTTTTCCCAAACCGCTACATTCACGTGAGTACCTCCGACTCTGATTGCTTTGAAGGCACTTTCGATGCTCTGAGGAATACCAGCACAGTCGTATACAACGTCAGGTCCCACACCTCCTGTGTGATCCTCGCACAGCTTTGGCACGTCTTCTTCAAACGGATTGATGACCAGATCGGCAAACCCTGAAAGAAGTTCTCGTCGAGCCAAAGTTTGTTCGGACACAATGATCTTTTTTACTCCTTGTGCTCTCAATGCTAGTAATGTCATCACACCAACCGGGCCGCCTCCAATGATAAGGACGTTGATATCTGCCCAATCAGCAATCCTAGCAGCCTTGACGGCATGATGTGCAGTGGCAAGAGGTTCGATAAGGGCTGCAGCCGACAGCGGAACATTGTTTGGGAGGACGTGAAGCATCCTGTGGGTGCAGGTGGAGGCCTTGGGCACCTGGGTATCAAATTTGCAAAAGCTCCTGGGCTGAATGTTGTGGCAGTGGAAGCGAGAGACGAAGGTCTTGAGATGTGCAGGAGGCGGGAGCAGACTACGTTCTGGACGCGCGAAAAGGGAAGAATGAACTTGTCGAAGCGATCAAAGCTTTCATTCCACAGGGACCAGGCGTGGATGCCACAGTCAATGTAAGTAATGCTGACACAGCAGCTGCATTGGCATGTGCTCTTACGAAGATGCATGGTACTATGGTTCAAGTCGCCCAGCCGGATAATGTCATTATACCTTTCGTGGAGCTGATCTTCAGAGATATTCATGTTATCGGATCGCTAATTGCTGGATCTGAAGTCAGTCAGGATATGCTAAACCTGGTGGCACTTCACGGCATCCAGGTTCAAAAGAACGTATTTCACGGACTACTTGAGGTACCCAAGATGATTAAACTGAGTCACTCCGGAAGCATGGTTGGTAAGGCCATATGCATCATAGACGAGGGAGCAGTGGCGCAAGAACAGAACAAAGAAGCAAGTGGCTGTGCGTAATGGAAACGCTATTCTCTGCCTATGTTAGCTATTGTCATAGGTGCAGTGCCAGATCGATCTTGGGTTATTGAGATGATGGTTGCTTCACGACCTACTCAGTGATATTCCTCGGCATTTGAATTTAAACCTCCACCTAGCCGAGGCCCTGATGTAGACAATAAAAGTTTCCGGCCTTGGCCGTTCTGCCCGAGTTCTGGCCGTAAACCATTCGTTCTGGGTGCGGCTACAGGTCAGACATGCGGTCCACGTTACCTCCGAGCGGGGATTCACGGGCTCCCCCGAACGGTACCTTGAAACATTGCACGGCATCAGACCTTAATTCATCGACTTCGTAACTTTCGAGACCATAATCGAGCGTCAACCACGTCCTAAAAATTCTTGAGAGGTTCAATCAAATACATAAAATGTCGGCACCTCTGCGGTCACTCTGGACACATCCAGAGGTCGCTTCTACGAGAATTGAGTCATTTCGTCACTTGGCCAACGAGAAACATAACTTGAGCCTCAGTGAGTTCGATAAGACTGTACCTACCATGGCGTATTGACTTATGCTTAGGTAACTATCATGACCTCTGGGAATGGTCGACGGACAGCCTGAATGACTTTTGGATGCTTCTTTGGGAGTTTACAAAAGTCCAGGCTTCAATTCAGCCAGATTACGCCATTACGGACTCAGAGGCAGCCAGCCTCACCCCAGTCCCGAATTGGTTTCCACAAGCAAGATTCAATTTTGCTCAGAATATCCTCGAATCAAGCTATGCTCCGCCGGTTGAGGACGAAAGACCGATACTTACGGGAGTTCGAGAAGGCGGAAGCAATATCGAACATGTCTCCCTCTCCGAACTCCGTAGTCGCGTCGGAGTTCTTGCCAATGCACTGACACGCGCTGGAGTACAAAGACTTGATCGCGTGGCCTGCATTGGATCAAACAGTATCAGTACATTCACTATATTCCTAGCTGCGGCATCGATAGGTGCTATTTTTACCTGCTGCTCTCCTGAGATGGGTGAAAAAGGCATCCTCGACCGCTTCCTGCAAGTGAAGCCAAAAGTTTTGTTCACCGACGACTGGATCGTCTACAACGGCAAACGGATTGAATGCTTGGAGAAAGCCAAGCGGGTCGCATCTGTTCTCCGGACACGGGGCGATCTACAGACCTTGGTAGTGATCCCCCGAGACAACGAGAGTTACATGGATGATTTGGAAGCCGGCTTTCAGAGCCTCCAAAGCTTCTCGGCAGGCGTGGCAGAGAACTACGCCTTCGCCCAATTGCACTTCTCACATCCACTTGTAGTTGTCTACTCCTCCGGGACGACTGGGCAACCTAAATGTCTTGTGCATACTGCTGGAGGCGTACTTTTGAAACAGAAGCTCGAGCAGATTCTGTGCACAGACATGACCGAAAATAGTGTCTACATGCAGTATACAACGGTAAATGAGGCTGTTCCGCTCACGGGGCCCCAGATTAACACTGCTATAACAGACAAACTGGATCATGTATCTCTACGCAGTCTCCGGCTTGCTGAGCGGAGCCCGGTCAATTCTCTACGATGGATCGCCTGTCATCCCAAGTCCGGTCAAATTTCTGGATATGCTCGGCCGCCTACAGGTTACACACTTTGGTACCAGTGCACATTATCTTTCTCTTCTGGAAAGTTCGGGCATTACGACAAAAGACGTCAATAACCTAAAGCGATTGAAAGTTATAACAAGTACTGGATCAGTGCTCACAGAGCCGCAGTACTATTGGGTCTACAAGGTCTTTGGGCCAGTTCAACTCAGTAGTATAGCCGGAGGGACGGACATTGCAGGGGCTTGTGAGAAGACATGTCGCTCATTGAACATGACCTAGTTGGCTGACGATCTTGTTACAGTTGTCGGTGGTGCACCAAATCTACCTGTTTATGCCGGTTGGTGCCAGGCGCGAACGCTTGGCATGAACGTCCAGATTTATTCAGATGATGGTCATCCCATCGAAGCAACTGGCCAGGCTGGCGAACTAGTATGCACAGCACCGTTCCCGTCACAGCCGGCATATTTCTGGGGCGATGAAGACGGCAAACGATACCACTCTGCATACTTCGAGAAGTTCCAAGGTATTCCCACCGAACAAATGGGATGAAGAAAGCATTGGGATTAACAGCTTACAGGTATTTGGCACCAAGGAGACTATATTCGTATGGATCCTGTGACAAAAGGCGTTCAATTTCTTGGTCGAAGTGACGGCGTTCTAAACCCATCCGGTCTAAGTCCCCAATTTCTACATGCATTACAAGCACTGATATCGTATAGGCGTGCGATTCGGAAGCGCAGAAATCTATAATACTCTAACAATCTTCACCCAAATCGAAGACATGCTATGTATAGGTCAGCGACGGTTGCATGATCGTGATGAGCAAGTCTTGCTATTCGTCAAAATGAAAGAGGGCCATACCTACGACAATAAGCTCGAAAAGGCAATCAGAACACGTATTCGACAGGACCTGAGTCCCCGGCACGTTCCAAAGTTCATCTTTGAAACACCCGAGATACCAATGACCGTGAATGGGAAAAAGACAGAATTGCCGGTGAAAAAAATCGTATCGGGTCAAAAGGTCACCCCAAGCTCAACGATCTTGAATCCTGCTTCACTGGAATGGTACGAGCAATTCGCTCATATCGACCAGAAAGGGTCGCTCAAAGCAAATCATAAGCTATAAGCAAATTGTCTCGGTTCGAAGTACGTGAAGATCGAGATGGCGGGATAGTCACACGTACTTTGACGACATTAGTCGTCTACGCTATCTAGACTTGATCATGTGGGCTAGTCGAATCATCTGTTGGTCCGGGCGTTGCAAAGAGAGGGTTGACGCTTTGGCTAGAGGTACTCAGGCAACTTCAGGCCTTTCTTTTGCGACCTTTTTTTTGCAAAGCGGGTTTAGCCAGCATAGAACTGAGCTTTGTATTTAGGTATATGATTTGTGTTGCGTACATAAGGGCTCTAGATCGTATTTCTGGTGGGCGACCGCCAACGTAGATCTTCGCAACCGCAGTTTTGGAACGTACACTTATTGCTATAGTTGAAAGGTTAGTCTCACTAGACCCGAATCACCCTTGAGAAGGCAAAAGCACTTACTAAAATCCCGGCCGTATCCATAACAATCTTCTGCCAATCTGAGTATAGACTACCTGGTTTGTAATCATCAAGGTCAAGATCCATGTATCCCTGATGCGTGTTGTCGAGACACTACTCCCAGGGCACGACCTTGTGGAAGCTTAGTACCATTTCTTCCAGAAACGTGGGGATGCGATACACGTACCATTAATCTTTGTATCAGTTGCAAGGAGCAACATTGCCCGACAGCAATCTTCAACAAGAGCAAACCCAACCCCACTATCGTCCAGGTACTTCTGGGCCATTGGGGAAAGGATGGGAGTACGAATATACCTTAACATGGTATCAGAACATCAGTGGTCTTAAGCTCAGGATTAACGACTGACCATGGAGCCACCAAGTTGACTCGGATACTTTCTTTCCAAGTTGTTCGACGGAGGCTCCTCATCACGCCCCTGACACCAAACTTTGATGCGTTATACTGTATTGACCCTGGTAGGTCGACATAGCCTGCTAGACTGGACTTGAGGATAAGACAACGGTCCCTTGATGGCTCGACTGGCTGGCGCCGGAAGTAATGAATAGCAAGCTTGACGGTGTAAAGTAAGCCCGTGAGATTGATGTCCATAGTCGCTAGGTTGGGTTTTGACGCAGGTTCTGCAGGATCTGCAACAATATTAGACTGGCAATTTCAGGTCAAGACCCGGCCCCCTTGTAGAGTGAACATGTCATCGCGTCCAACTATTCCCGCATTAGCGATCACAACATCACAGCTTTTCTGCGGAGAATTTTGTGTGGCTGCATCGAAGGCCCGCACTTGCTCGTCCCAGTTAGTGACATCGCATCTCACAAACTGCGCATTCCTGGGATCCTTTCAGTCAAAGCCTCACAACTTCGACAATGAAGAGAAATACCTCCCCAGCTCCGCAACGGTCTCTTTGCCCAAAGTGTCCTTTAAATCAGCAACAGTGACGTAGGCGCTAGCTCCTCATCAGCATCTGAAGTTTTCGCTGGTGACCTCTGGATCATTACCCGGCCTCAACGAATGCCCAAGCATATGCTTTGCCTAACCCGCCAGCACCTTCACAAGTCAGAGGTATTTAGTAATTGTTATATGGCTTGAACTAGCCTCCAGTGACCAGCACTGACTTCCCAGAAAGACTCTCCAGGGAAACAGAGGCCGGGATATGGACAGGACCTAAGTCTTGATACTCTGGGATGTGTATCTGAGATGCGGGTACGCCCTTTTTAGCGTCCATTGAGCTTGAATGAACGCTGAGTTGTTAGAAACACCTGAAATGATTATTGCGTGGAAATTAGTATGACACAGTCTTCGGCTTGGTCTTGTGCAGTGTTTGGAATGTATATTGACAGCGAGTGCACCAACCCTGCGTTACCCCGCTGAACTTCAGACACGAGGGTCTGTCACCAATGCGAGAAAATGCCAGTAATCCTCTAATCCCTCGGCTGTAACCCGACTGCCGCTCAGCGGCCGACACTTTGGAGGAGTGGAATTACACACAAGCACACGATGCACCTAACCTCGTTCAGAAACCTTCGCCGCCATCCAAACCTCGTGACAGGCAGGTGCTAAGTTTAGATGGACATCAAATATTTCACCACGATATGCACCTCATTTTCTCGGCGTTCGCGTCGGAACATATGATCGAAATCGAGAAGAAGACAGTACTTGACGGCAGCCCACAAGTAAACAATGCACCGGAGACGTGTCGTGCGAAGTACTTTCCGGCACATGAATATCCCTGTTAGGGCTCTAGTAAGAGAATCGACGCATATATAGTCGATGCTGTCTCTACCAATCTTCCAATGTCGGTGATTGCGAAGTGTGCTCAACACAACGGGTCACAGCATCTCGGAACGGAAAGCAGCCGCCCAACAGGTTCCATTCTCTTCTAGGTGTATATCATATCACCGTTCGCTTCGGGTCCATACATGGTATACTAAATCGTCAATTTGTGCGGCTCAATGCAGCTGAGGTGGCGGAAGGCTTCGGCTGTATTCATCATAGTCGGACCTGTGGGGATATCTACGGAAGTCCAGAGATCGAGAGGGAGATATTCAGTCGAAGTGCGATCGAGGCTGTCTGGTGCAGGTTGATCCCCAAGCTCGTTAGCGTCATATAAAGAATGAAAGGTTGTCAGGTCGGGTTTCGTTCCTGCTTGAGGACTGGGTGGATGATCATGTGCGTCGTATGAAGCAACAGGATGCTTAGTTGTGTTCCCATGAAGGGATTTCGTGGTGTGATTTGAGCCTATATGTGAGTCTCCAATGCATGCAGGAATCTCTGTGCTCAGTAATTTCCGATTCCTTGCGGCTTCCACCATTGGTACATTTGCGCTCTGGAGAATCTGCCACAGACCATGCATCTCTTCGCGCCGAGGCACGCTCTCCACGCTTTGCTCCACATAGCGCCCAGCAGAACCTGTCAAGCGCTCTATCACACTTTCCAGGAAGGCGCTACAAGCTCGTGCTGAGGGGTGCCGGCTCCTCAGAGATTTCAAGACTGCAGCACACTGACGGAGTCTCCGAAAGCTTGGCGTCCGGCACCTTGTTTCCTGGGACTGACATTGGTTTAGATGCAAGGCCGCAACTGGCATCAAGAGCTGGATGGTACTGGTAGAAATACAATGTAGCAGGCCCAGATTGCCAAGCCTGAGAAAACAGTCCGTTATGTCCGTTGCAGACTCCATGAGCTTGACGAGGCTCTTCTGATAGTGTGCAACAGATTGGTTGCCTTCAGGCTTTGAGAGATCGGAACAAATCAATAGGCTGAGTGCCGAGGTAGAGACAATCTGCAGTTCGGTGCAGCATTGCCCCCATACATCGTCTGTTTTCGCAAGGCTTTGTGGCCCTAGCACGTAAGTCGAATACGTTGTTACCCATTTGAGTAGTCTTCGGCGGCCTTGTTCACGACTGTGATCGGCACGTTGCTGCTGCCAGACTCTGTGACGAGGCTGGTAAGGACCCCAGTCCCATGGCCCCTGGCAGAAGTCGACATTCTCGCATAGCAATAGAAAGTCAAAGTGAGTATAAAGTTCGTTGTTCGCAATGCAGATCTCGATGGCTTCCGACTGCAATTTGGTACTGCTCAACATTGGCACAGAAGAGTAAACGTCTGTGACTGTAGGTGAGTGACAACGGACCTCGAAATCGGTCAGTGATAGTTGTGGCACAATGTCAGCCAGCAGTGGACGAAGGACTGGTCGTCGAATGGCTATGGACAGTCGTCGATCTTGGACATACCAAGCCCACCAGTTCCGGCGCCACATAGCTTCCGTCCGGGCAGAGCACATTACGCGAGATGTGTTGTTCAACAAAGGCGAAGATTCCAAATAATGCCATGCGAGGTTCAGCCATTTTCTACATTCTTCTGGATCGTCCGGATCCTCCAGCACAATGCTCATCAATATCATGGACTGACAGAGCACGAGTCGGTCGCGTTCGTAATCCATTTGGTGCAGTGCCTATGGATCATGAGTTGAGGTCCACCAAAAACGACTCCAAAACCAGCTCACCTTGACTTTGTTATGTAGACTCTCCTTGAAGTCGCCTGGGAGAGCCAGATTGATCTCTTCTGATATGCTTGGATCGACATACTTAAGCCCTGCTGCTAGGACTGAGTAGAAGAGCATCAGGTGAGCCCCTGGCATAGAGTCTTGCGCATCGAAGAGTAGTGTTGTTACGAGGAAGTCATGTAAGTCGATAAGTGGGAAGAAGGGGTGAACGTTCTTGATGTATGTCTCCAAAAGCAGCTTGGTTGTCGAGGCGTCGGGAACATTGAAGACTCCTACCGCCTTCAAATAGTGCAGCTTTTCAGCCCTAATATGTACTGGGTGGTGCTTGTGATCAGATAAAGCTCCATGTCGCTCCCGGGTCTGTGTTTCTTTGAAGGCCGCGCCGTGAGTGACCAGATCTACCTGTTGAAAAGGTGCCCTGATTGTGTCCATTAGTACTTCTTCCAGGTACTTGCTTGCGGCGGTTTACCTTTTGTTCTGGTTGAGTAGGACACACTTCACTCGGTCCAACATGCAATTGGTGCAACTACTCTTTTGTTGTTGGACATCACATCGAACTTTTCGGCGACGACATTCGCAGCAAGCGACCTTTCCCCGCGGACGAATCTTGTGGTCCTTGGGACTTTCACTACCGATGTTCTGCGGCTTAGTGATGGGTTGCAGGTTTGAATGAGATGAGGGTTGAGATGGCTGCTGCATAGAGATTTTCTTCGAAGCTATAACAGCACCTATGCGCACATATAAGAATAGAATATCTGTTTGAAGTATAAAGCCTTTGGTCGGTCTGTATGATGTTGGCAGATTGGGGAGACAAAACACGACTAGGCCTCAATGGCACAGTTACTTAACTATGCAAGCAAAATGATACACGTGTAGTCAATTGATTGAGTTATAGCTCTCTGTGCTCATAAAGTCATGTCAAGTTGGAAGTTTGCTTCTCCACTTTAGTTCGAGGTGTTGATCATAAGGTGTGCCACAGAGATTGGCTTTTAGTTCGAACTGGAAATCCGGATCGAATCCAGAGCCTGACAGATGCTTTACGCTTCCAGGTTCGTGCGATTTGACTAGTACAATCGAACAAGGCTGCGCAGGCAAGGTTTTGGTGTAATTCCAAGGGGTTCGCAAGGCAGCTCGGTAAGAGTTCGATGGGGAAAGTTTGATCGATTACAAGTCTCTAGCGAGTAAGTGATACAGCGAATAGCCTCCCCAACTGGATTTCGCCTCTGCAAATGTTTCGGCAAGAGCTGGATATTAAACCTACCGAGGACTATCCAACCTTCACTGTTGCACGTGCAATGGTTCTCTTGCGGAGCGCCCGCATGGAACTTCTTGGTACGAATAACCGAGGTTGGAGTGCCCAACCGGAGGAGGTGGTCGTAGGCCAGCGCGCGACCTACCTGCCTGACTTTCACGTGGCTTCCCCCCGGGACGCCAGGACATTGGGAGACGACCGTTGCAGACGATTGGACAGCACCTGTGTCAGTCCTTTGATCTCGCAACATGTATTCTTTCTAGTGTCCTTGTTGGATTTGATCAGATTCCCTTCCACAACATAGAGATTTTTCTAGAAGATAGCAGTTTTGTCACATCAAGCATCCCGAGTACCGTTGGAGCTGATCTTTAAATTGGTGGAACAACTTCGTGGTCGATTATTATGCCTATCTATACCGATCAGATCATTTAACCAGCACGATTCGCCCAGTAACCTTTCCGGCTTTAAGGGTGTCAAAAGCTTCGTTCACTGAATTCCAGTCCATCCTTTGCACCGGCACAGGCGCGAGCTTTCCCTCTTTCGCTAGCTGCACCACTGAACGTAGGTGTTCCAAGTTCCCGGTGATGTTTGCATAAATGGTCAGACCCTTGAAGATGTTGCCTACGAGAGACAATTCGATTGAACCTCCCATCACTCCAACTTGCACCCACTTGGCTCCTTTGGCAGTTATGCCATTCACCAGGTTGGCCGTGCTCGAGCTGTTTACAAAGTCGATTACTGCAATGACCGGTCCATTCGTCGCGGCAAGAATGTCCTTGGCTGCAGACGGGCCAGAGGTGTTGACAGTCTTTGTTGCGCCGGCTGCGGTGGCCGCAACCAGTTTTTTGTCATCTATATCCGCAGAGATGATGCATTCGTGTCCAAAAGCCTTCAGTACCGATATGGCAGCGAGCCCCAGTCCTCCCGCCCCAATTAAGAGGACCGGCTCGTTCGGTGGCAAAGGCATGACCTTGCTGACTGCGCTGAGGGTCGTGATTCCTGAGCAGCCAAAAGTACATGCCACCGCAGGATCGAGATCGCCCAGATCGATTAGGTACTTCGGATGGGGGACCACCACATACTCGGCAAAGCCTCCATTCTTCAGCGTCCCAAGCCCTTTTTGTGCAGCGCATAAGTTATCCTCCTCCTGGATGCATCGTGTACAAGTACCACAGCCGACCCAAGGATAGACAATTTGGCGGGACCCTAACGAGACGGATCCTGCGTCTGGTCCAACAGCAGCAACTTCTCCTAATATCTCATGGCCAAGTACCAATGGTAACTTCATGCCACGGTCTTTGATGTAGAAGCGTTTTCCTCCGCCCATATCATAGAAGCCTTCAGCTGAATGCAGGTCTGAATGACAAACACCAGCGTGGGTAACCTTCACCAGAATTTCCGTTCTTGTGGGTTTTGGAACGGATTGGCGAATTTTCTGAAGAGGTGTATTCCATTCTGTCAAGGCCCAAACCTCCATTTCCTCCGCCATTGTTGGTCGATGCAATTGTCAGTACTTCAAATTATTTCTGCCCCAGGACAGCAGAGTTGATGACGAGTTTGAATTTATTCTGGTAAAACCCCGCTTATGAGGGGTTCGCCGATCTGGCCGAGGCACTTAAGGCACTCCGTAGGGTGCTGGGGTTCCCCGGTCTCCGCAGCAAGTCAATCCGCCAAGTGATTCCTCGAGGTCATACGACAAAGGAATTGCACAGTCGTAGGTGCAAGCTCGCAATTGACTTGATTGCTCCGTCGCCTAAAGCATCTTTTCGAGGTTTCAGCAGCATCCACGACCATGCTGAATGGCTTACTAATCCGACTGACAGAGATGTCGGCAATCTCTACCGCCAACTTGGATTCGGGTGAGGTAGCTTTCGGGCCGAGGTACTGGGGCGATTTGACATTGAACTCCACGTTCAGGAGCGTCAGCATAGCAGTTTAAGAAACTGATTCAAATACCTCATTGCATGGAAAGCGCCTTGAACTGACCAGCATTGCGAGTTTATCGAAGCACAAAAGAAAGACGCAGCGATGGGTAGCGCCGGCTTGGATCCGCAGCTCTACACGAAGCTGTTCTTGAATGGACAGTATGTCGCCAGCAAGAGCAAAGAGACGTATAGCCTCCGAAACCCCAAAGACAACACTGTTGTTCTCGACAACATCCCAATCGCTGGGCATGAAGACGTCGAAGCGGCAGTAAAATATGCGGAAGACGCTTTCCATGGGCCATGGAGTCGATTTACTGCTATGCAACGAACGGAATGCTTTCTCAAATTGGCCGCCTTGCTAGAGGAGGAGCTGACGCCAATCCTAACGCTGGATTCCTTGACATCAGGCATCCCGGTGTCTCTAGCTCCGGTTCGTGAACGAAACTACATCAGAAACTGCTTGCTATACTACGCGGGTTGGACGGACAAACAGAAAGGCGACTATTTTCCCGCAGACGATGGTCAGTCGGCATTGCGTAAACCCCGTGGTCGCAACTAATCACGGTGTGTCTCAGGATTTGTCAAAATTGTTCGACACGAGCCTCTTGGTGTTTGTGCTGCTATCAACCCCTTTAATGCCCCTGTGCCCTGCGTTTTCCTAAAAGCTGCACCAGCACTTGCCACCAGAAATGTCATGATTGTGAAACCCAGCGAGAAGACACCTCTGGGATCTTTGGCGGTCGCGGCTCTGTTTGAGAAAGCCGGCTTTCCTCCCGGGGTATTTCAAGTTATTACAGGTCCTGGATCTACTGGCGCCTTACTGGCCGAGCACATGAAAATTCGCAAAGTCAGTTTTACTGGTTCGATCACAACAGGCAAGAAAATTCAAGTGGCAGCGGCTCGGAGTAATCTGAAGCGTGTAACACTAGAGCTTGGAGGCAAAAGCCCGGCGGTTATCTTCGAAGATGCCAATCTTGAAAACGCACTCACATGGACAATCAACGGAATTCTGACACGAAGTGGCCAACTCTGTGTTGCTGCCTCAAGAGTATATGTTCAGAAGAGTATTGCCGACCGCTTCATCGAAGAATACAAAACAAGGATGAAGGCAGCTGTCAACGATTTAGGAGACCCCCAAGACCCGAATGTGAAATTGGGGCCAATGATCGACCAGGCACAGCTTGAACGCGTGAAAGAGATCGTGGAGCGTGGAAAACACGAGGCTGAACTAGTTGTCGGAGGCAACCAGTACGGCGATAAAGGATGTTACATGGAGCCAACATTGTTTTTGAACCCTAAGGATGACGCAGAAATATATCGAAACGAGATTTTTGGACCGGTTAGTATTATCAAGACCTTCGAGACAGAGGAAGAAGTTTTGAAACTGGCCAACGACACCGAGTTTGGTCTGATGTCTGGCGTCTTTACACGGGACATCACGCGAGCCTTGCGAATGTCTTCAGCATTGGAAACAGGGGTCGTTGGTATCAATTGTGTGAGCCTGCAAAGCTTGCAAGCGCCCTTTGGTGGAAAGAAGCAAAGCGGTATTGGACGAGAATTCGGAGAATACGCCCTAAGGCTGTTCACTGAGCCCAAGACGGTTATCATCAATATGGCTGCATAGTTAGCTAAGTGTCAAAATCGCTACCGTAAGTGGCAAACAGTGAATAATGTTTCCGACTTCAGGATACAATGCGAACTTCTCATAAAGCACGTTTCCACTGTCAGCAACCATAAGGGTCCCTGGTCAGTGCGGAGGATTTCCATTTGTGACTCTCAGTGGTGAATATGCGCTGTCGTACTTCTGACGGAGTATACACCACTCGGCAATACGTGTCTCAGACAACTTGCTTGCCCTTCTCAGTTGCTAGTGGTCAATCCGGAGCCGGAGGCGACAATGCTGATATCGTTGACTAAAGTCCAATCTCAGAACTCAATCTGTCAAATTTTAATAAAACTCGTAAATGTGTTGTGATGCATGTGAGAGGTTGGTCTATGGCATCCTACATAAGGCGAAGCTGGTGCTGTTGGAGATCTAGTGTGCCTGAACTTCACATGTGAGTTCGCTGGTTCAGGTCAGGTTGGCTGCAGACAGGTCACAAGTTTCTCAACTGGCCAGGTATATCCAAATACCGTGCAATCAAATAGGCCTTGTCTTCCGGCAGACACATCAGTGGAACCGAGAGTCTACCTCTGAGACATCTCATCTCCCTATGCAGGTCCAAAACCATCAAGATCTTCACTTTCGATCAAGCTATTGCATTGTGATTGGCAGTCTACACGATGAATCATGATAGTACCTCTAGACGGAGGACCTGATGACTCTTGCCACAGGCAATCGTTGATTCCAAGCTACCGAGGATATTGACTCACCTGAACATCATCCTGCCAGAAAAGCGCGAATGGAATCTGGTGAGTTGGGGAAGGATCTTCCACCATGGAGAAGTCAATCGATATCTCTCTCTCAGAATATACAGAACGGTACGGGGTAGCTTCGATCTGGTGGCGCCTGGAAGATCTAGACCCCAGGTATTGATGCGGACCTACAGAGTGCTGTGAATAGCCTCGGTAGGGGGTTGCCGGTTAACAGTTTCACGGATTATAACCGATGCTCCGAATTTCCGGGCACAGAAAGAGCCCCAGACGAATACCTTGATAGTGCGGGGGTACAGTACATGTCATGACTCGACCCTGCAAACGCGAATGCTGCCGAGGATAACACGCCACATGTCCCAGGACATACATATTCTTATTCTTGGGACCCAGTGAACACATCGATCCAACAATCCATATTCCCTTCCCATTTCAATCATGGCGCAGCACAAAGACGAATCTTGCGAGTACGACATGACCTGCTGACTGGTGACGCCCATGGGGCGGCCTCCACCAAACTCGTAAAGAGAATTACCACCACGGTACCGGGCCGCTGACCGAGGAAGCCATGGATTCGATCAAAAAGGTCTTGGGCGTGGGTGCTTGTTGCGAGTCAGGTTTAGCCGTCTGAATTGAGCCTTAGATAGCAGGCTACAAAGCTCTATGTTTGGGCTGTTCAACTTTGTGCTCCGCGGACTGATTGCAATTTCGTGCCGTTCGTGCGGAGACGGGAGAAAACAGGAAACAAGCGTTGAGTGTTCTAATTACGACAACTTACACGGTGAGCCTATGGTGGAGTTCTAGCTCCATGATACGTACGAAATACGTGCTTTGACTTCCCCATGGGCGCGGCTTGCTAGCTCAACCCCCGGAAAGCCGACATTGATTGTGGAGATCATAGCCCGAACTTCAAATCTCCATGAGCAAGAACCAACGTGAGACATGCATGCACAACACGTCTCGCAAACCTATTGTGAGGCACCACGGAGTATGTTCACCGAGGCCGTTTCGCTTTCGTGTTCTGTTGTGTCTTGTTCTTTCATTTTAACGTACAGGAAGGGATTACGCCATGGACACAAAATGGACTCTCGTCTGATTACTATCAATTATTACTCCTTGGTAAATCGAGTCCAGGATCGCCCACACACAAGCATCCTTGATGACCATTGATGGTTATCGTTCCTCCAGCGCTTTTACGAGAAACAACAGCCGCCAATATGGGATTTTTCAGCAGTGGCAATCTTCGAGAAGGAGAAAAGAATCAGATACTGAACACTTGCAATGTGCTTGTGTTCTGTATGTTCGCACCTGCATCCATCACCTACGGATTAGTGCCTCCGTCATCGCTATAACATTAGGGCCACTACTATTCCTTCATCGAGATTAGTATTAGGTACTACTGCCTAAAGAGCTCCATGAACATGGAAAACGTCGCTTAGTCGTCCTAATCAATATTTTATGTATCAATACAAGAACCTTATTACGCTTCTACGTTCTGCCACTATGGGTAGTTCTTCCTACTCTACATGGACGGTCAATATTTTCCAAGCTTAATTGAACTGTTCATGGGAAGTTATCGTGTACCTTTGCCGCTGCCGGAAGGCAACCCGGTTATTTTCAATGGTTGTAGCTTCTCCTACCTCTCCTGAACTACACTCAAATGCTCCAGGATTCATGGTCCAATAGGCCTATTCTTCGGGCTTCTGAGTATCTGTCTTGACCATGGGTTATTCGTTATAATACATAGTATAGCCCTAAAGTTCACGGGAGCGAGGCTGCTATACTTTAATATGATCCTACTATCTGAAGATAAACAGTCGCTCTATACAGTATCATAACGCCCTGAATCACTGCAACAAACCCATATACCAGACCTTTGTATTGCTTTAACACATATATAGAGTTATAACTCCGCCATTACCAGCGTAAACTCGCTCATATCCGGTGGCGGCTTATCAATCTCCACTTTCAATCTCCTGTTAAAGAAAGCTCCCCTATTACTGAACGAAATATGCTGATTCAGCGCTCTCATCCTCCTGATTTCATCGTCGCTAACGCCGATATAGTCTCTCGGGATCCATACGCTCGGTTTCGGGTCTCGTAGCACGGGATGCATGAATGCAACACTGACTAACATATCTCGCTCTTCGCTGGTAAGGTTTTCCAAGTTATCGTTATGCTGCATAATGATCTTACTGATAGGATCATTCATCATCAGTGCTGTGACTTCGCGTTTGCGTGGTATAAAGGTGCTACTGATATATGCTTCGGCTCGGGAGAGGTCTGACTCGAGTCCGGCGAGCTTAGCTTCGTCGAGAGGTCGATGTAAGCGCGCCAAGATACGCCTAGCTTGATGCTTGTCGTGCTCCTTTTGCGCTTCCATGTCTGTTCCACGGCGAGACAAGTGTGTCGTGCCCAGCGATTGAGAAGAAGAACGTCGACTTTCGGCGAGAGAAGGCGATCGTGAAGCTCGTTCAGCTTGCTTGGCCTGTTCCGCAGGTACTGCCATCTCAACTCTTTTCTCCTTGGTAGCATTGACCTCGCCACTCGCCAGCTCAGTGTCCTGCAGGTTCGAAGTCGAGGTTGGTATTTGGGATTCCTTATCATGCAGAAACGTGTCGCTCGCCAGCTGGAGAGGAGCGTACTTGAACAGTGCACTGAAATGCACTGCCAGCCAGATCTGATACATGATAGTAAGCACGAAGACGATGGACATGATGATGCCTTGAGCCTCACACGAGACCTTGTTGTGTGCATCGCGCACCAGAAAGAAAAGGCCGATTAGGCAGACCTCCATGAAGTATAAACCTGTGAAAGTCTGATTGATAGCACTTGGAAACCATAAACCACCGCTATCAACGTTCCCCGTGCGTACGACGTAGAGAACGTTGTTCTTGATAACGACATAGAAGAGGCTGAATGTGAGAAGCATAAAAACCAATATCAGTGGTGCAATAACTGAGTAGACTAGTCCAATGACGGCAAACGTCGTATACCAAGGAATATTGGATCCAATTCGAGTTCTCCAGGTGAAGCTCAATTTGCGGAATACTTCATCAGGACTGTTGACCCTCCCGAAGACGTAGAAGTTCAGCAGACGGATCGACTGCAAGATTGAGCTTGAGCTTATTGACAAGGCTTGAAGGATCAAGAATGAGAAGTAGTAATTAGCTGCAGTTGGTAAGTTTGTCGCCAAAATTTCGGGTACGGACGCTGTATTGTGTATGAGTTCTTGTACAATGCTGGTGAGTCCAGATGAAATGGTTGGTATGATAAAGACCTCGAAGACGAGAAGAATGAAGTACCAGAGCTGAAGGGAACGCTCGCCTCGAGAGCCTGTCGTAGCCCCACGAGTGCTATTCGTCATTGCTCGAAGGACGATTGGTGTTGGACCACTCAACAAAACAACGAGGATCACTGGAGGGAGAGTACCTTGTACGAATGACAAGAACCAGCGTGGCAGCGTGCCTATCCAATGCAGCCAGGAAGTTGAGCCAGCTAATGTCGACACTCTCGACAAGAGTCCGGTAAAGAACGATATGAGGCCGAAAACAAACACCAGAACGATGAACAGCACCACAAAGATGATGAGTCGTACAGCTCTGTTGCGCCCAGTGTAATTAAGCGCGGGCCAGTTAATGTCTGCTGGTGACATCTCGACCGTTCGTTGAGCCATCCGTCCGGGCATCGTATGAGCGACGGCTTGACAAGCCAGATGTGCTGCCTTCTGAGTATTGAATTGGACGAAAGCCGATCCATTCTGCGGACAATGATCTGCTGCATCGATTTCTGCCTCAATCTCCCGATTCAGGCGCGCAAGTTCACGCCGACAGTAGTAAATAGTGTCCACCTTCAGCGAGAAGAATTGACCGACCAAGGGAAGTTTGCATACTTTTGCATAATTGGGCCGAGGTATTCGCATATGTGCTCGTTGCCTGGGCGTCACGTACTTGGTCCACAGAGCTTTCGTCGTCAGGTCATGTTCAAGGTCATATTCGCAAGCTGCCGGGGTCGTACATTCCCTTGGTCCTGCGGCGTCAGGCTCGCTACCGATGTGCCTTGCGTCTGTCGTACCTTCTTTAAGCGTTGACATCTCGGTTAGATTGACGTCGCTGACTCCTTTTCCCTTCTTCCGATGTTGCTTTATCACTTTGCGAATCAGATTGGTCTCGGCATTCTCTAGACGAGCCTCGTATTCCCTCCATAATTTGTCCTTTCCTGCGAGTGACTCCAGGTTGCGGTTCAGCCAGATTCTTCGTACCCCACCAGGAAAGTCGTCATAGAGTTCCATCAATGCTTCGGTGGTGCATAAAATCTTGGGTATATCCATGATAAGGACTGTCGTGCTCGAAGCTTTCAGTCGATGAAGTCGATTTCCCATGTATTCTTGCCTCTTGACGACATAATGCAGTAACTCGTGATAAAACAAAAAACAGACCCAGATTATTGCTCCTACCGCTAAGAGAAGATGCGCCCAGTAGCGGTTGGTATGCTGTGGTGCCACGTTGGACCACGCCAGTGTATCTAGGCCAGTGACGTTATAGTGGGTCGTACCTATCGTATTGGTTCCCTTGCCATCAATGTAATTGATTGGGATCAGGATAGGGAGGATGATCAGGGTCATAGGACAGAACATGATCAAACACATCCCTAAATACCGGAGAAAGAAGTAGGCATCCATGCCTGCTTTACGTAAGACCAAGTCATTCGGGGTTTTCAACATCAACCAAAGCCATCTGAGTGGGTTGTTTGGTGGTGGTTTGACTCTGTCCTTGGATGCGATCAAGAAGGATCTTGGCTGATATATTCGTTTTGCCCAAAGGTAATTCCGGACAATCAGGAATGCTCCGAATTGTACGGCGAATAGGACAAAACCAGCCGCAAGTGAAATAACAAATGTCTGGACTGTTGTTCCTTCCCTTCCCTGCGCAGTGCCGGCAGCGCCATTGATGATATTGCCGAATGTATCGGACATAGCTGCATGACCGTTATGAAAAGTGCGGCAATGAGAATATAGATTTATGAGGTTGAGAGATTGCGATCATGATGTTGCCTAAGGCCGAATAGTTGCATGATACATCACGTAAGAATTGAATCGCTATTAAGTCCACAATAGATGAGATCTTGCCGTAGATGATATCGCGATGACCGAAGATTGTTGTTGACGAAACATCAAAAAAAACGCGAGTCTCAAGAACATGGCACGCTTAGCAACTGTCACCCGCTAGTACCCATATAGTAAGGTGTATACGTCATGCTCATCACACGCCAAGTACTTAGAACCTTGTTTGATTCAACCTGAGCCGAAGTTATTCCAGGTTACATAATTCTTGACAAAGCGGCATATTATCACGTGGACATGTACGTCAGGCACATGTGATTATTCAGCCACCTTGGCATTGCCAAGGCATGTAAAGACGGTCAACTACCTTCAACTAAGTCAAGAGAGCTGCGTCGTACCTAATGTTCAACCCGTGGACACTTATATAGTCTTATAGGCGGCCACGCCCCTTAAGAAGTGACAAGTCCTTCATGAACTCACAAAGGACTTCGACAACATGGACGAGAATGTGTGAATACTGTGGACGGGATGGTTTTAAGTGAGGGCAGGTACCTGCTGATAAGCATTCGCCTTAGAACACAGTTGGGCATCGATTCTTGCAAGGTAGATCAGCGTGGATCACCAATGGACCTGCGGGACTACTCGGAATGCTTACATAATCATACCGACACGGCCCTCGGTTCTCCATGAGAAACGTGAGCCTTTGTGAAAATCCAGGCGATAACCTTCGGCAACTTCGGCAGGTCGCTTGCCTGGAAGAAAGGCTTAATGCGTACCTGGTTGATAGTGATTTGATGCTGGCAGAGCCTGGAAGGTTCCTCTGTAGATCTCAGAGGTTCGGGAGAGTTATGCCTGTCGCGGTGAACGAACTCCGTGCCGCGGCATGGGACCGCCCCAGTGATCAAATACTATCTCCCCCTCACTCTTTCCCAAGCATGCAATTATAAAGTCTAGGCTTCGCCAATCGACACTATAGACAGCGATCCCATACAGATCATGGAACGAAACCGTCGTTGCATCAACGCATCCAATTGAGCTCTGCCGTCAACAGTAGCAATAGGATTTGAGCCTCGCAGGAAAACATTCATACTGCACACCAGCAGAACTACCCACTCTGTTACCCTTCTACGAGCATGAAGGCAATACAGCTTCCAGCTCTTGTGAAGAGCCCAGATGGGCTCCAAGTTTCCAGCCTTCCGGACCTCAAACCTTCCCCAACAAAATATGTCATTCGTATTCGTGCATGTGCCATGAATTTCTTTGACATCTTGCAAATTCAAGGCAAGCACCAACAAAGACCACCTCTTCCCTTCATTGCAGGCAATGAATTTGCTGGAGAGGTTCTCGCTGTACCGACAGGCACAAAATGGAACCATACTTTCAAGGTTGGAGATGGTGTTTTTGGAGCAGGTCTGGGGGCATTTGCGACCATGATCTTGGCCGAGGAAGTGGATCTGAGACCCATTCCTAAAGGGTGGGGTTACAAGGAAGCGAGCAGTCTTTTCTACACAGCACCAACGGCGTATGCGGCGCTCATTCTACGAGCTCGGGCAAAGAAAGGCAAGGACAGAATTTCGAGTATTGCCAGACGCCACTGACGAATATTAGGTGACTATGTCCTTGTTCACGGCGCTGCGGGTGGCGTTGGCCTTGCAGCGGTATCCATCGCAAAGTTTCTCGGCATGACCGTGATTGCAACCTCAAACACGCCCAACAAAATGGAGATCGCGCGCAAATTTGGTGCCGACCATGTCGTCGATTCGAACGGCGACTGGGCAAGTACGGTCAAGAAACACACGCCAGGAGGCCGTGGTGTGGACGTAGTGCTTGATCCGCTCGGTCTTATCAATCAAAGCTTGAAGTGCATTCGCTGGGACGGACGGCTTGTGGTGATCGGCTTTGCCGCAGGGGAGATTGAAAAAATTGCCACGAACCGAATACTACTGAAGAATGTGTCCGTCAGCGGCCTTTTCTGGGGCGAGTATGCTAATCAGGATCCGGAGGCTGTGACTCAGGTCTGGAACATATTGCTCAAAGTGATCGACAAAGGTGGGATCAAGAGTATCGCCTACACCGAACGTACTTTCTCTGGATTAGAGTCGGTGTCAGATGCACTAAAACTACTCAGTACGGGTACGGCATGGGGAAAGATCGTGGTGGAATTGTCCGGGGATGAGAAGAGTAGGCTGTGAAACAACCAGGGCTGGGACAAGTATATCAAGACATATTTCTTGTATGCATTTGTCAAACAGTGTGCATGATATGATACATTGAATTCTCTGCCTTTTTATAACTACCTATGTACTTACTACGTATTTATAGGTGAGAGAGGCATCATTTACCCACTTCCTATAATCGTGATTTACCTACTAATCGAGACCTCGTCGTCGCCCTTAAACGCTAGTGTAACAAGGCGCTATCAGACTATTGAATAGTGCGGCAAGCTATCGCGTAATCTTGCCGTTTAATATACCCCCCTAGGGAAGATCTCGTCGTCGCCTTCGTAGCTTAGTGTTATATTACGTAACGTCGAGATTCTTTTCTATCTTTCTAGGACTCTATATAAATATACTTTTTACTCTTTTCTTTTTCTCTCCTTATTCTATCGCGGACGAAGAAGGTTATCTTTCGTTATAGTTATCGCCGTCGCTACTACTAGGCGTTAATATTAGTGTTAAGGAGTCTATCCTTAATATTCTATAAATTAAGCTATTATATAAATAATTCGAATCGCTATCGAGAAAGCGTCTTAGTAAAGCTATCGATAATTATTTAGTTAGTAAGAACCTACTTAATCGTAATCTTATCGTATTATACTTCCTATCTAAGCCAATATCTATAGATATCGATATATCGTAGACGAGTATTAAGCTTATAGCCGTACTTCGTTAAGAGACGAATAGCTTATAGATTATTAAAGTAGATAGTAGACTTTTACTTAAGATTAAGATTAATATCGTTAAATAGTTATTCTTACTAAATTATTTTACTTACTATATTTAATAGGGTAAGTAATTCGATCTCGATAGAAAAGGTTATTACGATCTTTTACTTAAAGACTCGCTAGTTAATTACTTCGCTAAATAAGATAATAATATAATTATCTAAACTTCGTCGAGAGTCTTTATTATTAGCGAAGAATATATTGAATATATATTTAAAGATATTACTAAAGAGTATAAGTAAATACTTAATAGCTAAAGTATATATATCTCTAAGATATTTAATTACTTTATTAATAGCGTCGAGATACTTTTAAGACGAGTTTATAAGAAACTAAGTAAGCTTTAAGGACGCTAAAGAGATATCTAGTTTAGTTACTACTACGATAAAGTTAATTAAGTCTATTCGTTATTAATAAATATAAATTTACTATAACGTAGTCTTATTCTCGTTAATTAAAAGAGACTTAATAATAATTAGTATAATTTATCGTTATTAAGTAAATATAATATAAAATCGACTTATAAGCTTATTAATATATAAATTCTAATATAATTATAGCTTATAATTAGCTTTATCCCTAATAATTTTAATATTTAAAAACTAATTAATATCTTTAATAACTCGAAAAGTAAAGTATTCTTAAAGTTATTAAATAAAGTTATCGAATTATATTTATTTATTACGTTAATAGAAAATTATAATATCGTTAATATAAAAGAAAACGATTAATTAGTTATTTCGTAATAAGTAATTTACTTTTAGTACTTCTTCGAAATTAAGCTCTTTAAAAGCTAAGATAAATATATTATACTATAGTAATAATAATTATCTTAAGCTATATAACGCTTTAAGTAAGCGTAGACTCTTACCTTTATTATCGTATTCTTTTAAGTAATCGATATATACTTCCTTATTAATCTTAGAGTTTAGAAAGATATTAATAGCGTTAGTTTAATAAATCTCGAAATTAAAGTAAGCGATAATATTTATTAACGCTCGAAAGATCTTAAGTATAAGAGTAGCTACGTAAGTATTCTTCTCGTCTATTTAAAGATTCTTTCGTATATAGATACGAGCCTTAAATTTATTAAGATACTTATTAGTATTAAATTTATAAGTAAAGACTTATAGTAAAGATAGAATTTATTTATTTTTAATATTTTAACGATTAATCTCTTTAATCGTTTAATTAATTAGAATAGCCTTTTATTTAGTAAAGATAGCCTTAATCTATTCTTTACGATAAGAGTATTATAGTACTTATCGCTAGTATTTAAATAATAAAGAAAGATAATCTCGATATATTCGTTATATACTTTACTTTTATTTAATAATAGTAATAAAAGTATAATAGTAATTATTAATAAAGTTACTTTTTTAATAAAGAGTCGCTACGTAAGCTTATCGATAAGTTAATTATTATTTACGACGAGTACTCTTAGGAATAATATTATTCTCTAAAAGTAATACTATTATCTCTATAACTCGTAGTATAATATTAAGTTTCCCGAGAATTCGGCTCTTTAATTAATCGACTAAATTCTTTGGCGACTCTTAATTAGCGGAATTAACCTTAAGTCCTAGGGTTATCTTAGGGCTTAAAAGACCTTATATATTTAAGGCTTAATTTACTATAGTTATTAAAACGTTCTTTTAAGTCGTATTTTAAGTATTATTAAATACTTTCTAATTAGTCGATTATTATTAATAAAGTACTATATATATAATAATAATCGTATTCTTATTATTCTTTAGATCTTATTACTTTTAGTAAGGCTTTAAATTAATAAAGTTATTAATTATCTTTACTATATTTAGTATCTCTCTTAATATTAATCAATCGTTATTAAGATTATTAGGATTATATAGTATTAACTCGTCGAAGATAATATTTCTAAATATAATAATTTAGTAGTTAATAGAGTCCTAAATACACTAAATATTATATAATTAATATTCGATATAGTAGCCTATAAAGACTCGCTTATAAAGCTTATCTTTTCTTAATATCTTATTAATTAGAATATAGGCTCGATAGTTAACTATATATAAATAATTTAACCTTAACTTTTCTTTATTAACTACTTTAAATAGTATTTTCTATTCTAATACTTAAATTAATATATACTTAAGTATATACTTAGCTATTTTTATTAGCTTAGGCTATAGTATTATAGATAATTATATATATATATATATTACTCTTACTCTTTAAATAATTATACTCCTTAAGTATTTAGCGTTATCGTTTTATATAAGAGTATATAAAGTCGATCGTTTAATAATAATTTCTTTCTTAATTATAAGTTTATTAAACGCCTTACTTAAAGAGATCTCTTTATCGAGTCTTATAAAGAAAGAGACGATTCTATAATAATTCTTAAGTAAGGCTAAATAAGCTCGAATAGCTAAAATATAGTCTCTCTTATTTAAATAAGTATAAATATAATTAAATTAAGTCTTATAGTTATTAAAGTAACTTATATACTTATCGTTATTATAGGCTTCGTTAAGAATAGCTAAATTATATAAGACTCGTTAAAATAGTTAAGTTATAGTGTTTTCGTACTTAAGTCTTCGTGAGATTATTTCCTTAATCTTAGAAACACTATAAGTTTAGTACTTAATAATTATTAAGATATTTTTAATCGTAATTTAAATCCCTTTGGTATTCCGTAGTAATTAGTTAATAGTCTCGATATTAGGGTATTCTATAATTTAATACTATTCTATCGTCGTATAAGTCCTATTATTATACGGCGCTATACTTAAGATAAATACTAAGTAAATTAATTAAGTCGTTATATTTCCTAATACGAAGTGTTCTTTCTATTATTTAACGTAATAAAGGTACTCTTTATTACGTTATAGGCTTCTTATTAAGTCGTCCTAGTATACGCTTTTTACTATAAGGTATAATAGAAAGATAATATTAATTATATATCTTAATACGTAAGCGACTTTCGTAATTATTATCGTCCTAGGCTTGTTATTAGTAAAGACATTAATTACGATAGTATCGTAATTATCGATAGAATAGGTATCGATATCGTATTATATTCTATCGTTAAGTTAAGTAGAGCGTATTATTTAATACGATACCTTCTTTTCGTTATATAGATAAATATCGAAGTCTAAATCGATAATTTATTTATCGATAAGAGAGTATCTCGTTATTATTAAGTACGCCGCTATAAATATCCCTAATAACTACTTTTCGCTTATCGAAGTATTACTAATGTCGTCGACGAAGATATCTTTTCGAATTATTTCTTTACTAGTCTTTTATTTAGCTTTAGAGATTTAAGAGATAAAGAGAGTATTATTTTTAAGCTTATTCTTAAAGTCCTATTAAGTAGTAGTATTTAGCTTTTAGTATAATAGTTATTTTATTTTATTTACGTAGTTATAGTCAATATATTAATATCGTTATTCGTAAAAGTATTTAGAAGAACTTAATTATCTACCCTAAAAGATTACGAATAAAATATAAGAGGCTCGAGTCGCTTTAGTTATTTTATCGTATAATTATAACTATCTAAAGAGCTATATAACCTTAAGTAAATTATAAGAGTAGCTATTCTCGTCTATAAGTAAGACTAACCTTTAGGTCTTAGTCTAGATCTCCTTAATACTTATAACGATATTAAGAAAGTCGAAAACTAGTTATTTACGACTTATCTTAGAAATTTCTATTTCTAGGGCGTCGATATAAGTAACTTCTTACTTTACTAACTAGATATTAATATCTTTCGCCTTTAGTACTTATTATAATACTTTATAGCGCTTAATTACTTTCGCTTCTTTATAGAAGAATATAAATAATAGTCGTAAATAAAGTATCGTTAGCTTTTACTATAGCTATAAGTAATCCTTCCTAATATATACTAAATTATATTTAACGATCGTATCGTTAATTAACTTATTAAGGGCCCTTAATATTATATACTTACGCTCGTAGATCTTTAAGAGATATTAATAATCTTAATATAATATCTTATATATCTTCTTCTTATTAGTACTAAATTCATCGTAAATTACTACTTTAATCCTAACTATCGCTACTATTAGTAGTAAAGAAGATAGTAGTAACTATATTAAATTCGACGTAATTACCGAATCGATATACTATTAAATATCGTACGAGACTACCTCGTTACGTATTTTATAGAACTATTCGTTTTAGTCCTAAATCTTATCGAGAATAATAAAGACCTTAGTTACTATAAAAGAGTTATTTAAATAAGATATAGTTACTATAAATTAATTAATAGTATTATTATATAAATTTATTCTTAATAAGTAAATTTAGAAGATACTAACTTAGTAGCTATTAAGCTAATATCTACTAAACTATCTAAACTCGCCTAGCCCTAGTAGACTTAGCGTATATAATATATATAGAGAATATAAGTTCTACGAATACTTAAACTCTTAAGGCTTTAAGTCTCTATAGAATCGCTTAGTTAAAGGACTTAGTTTAGTATCGCTACTTCTATTTAATTTTATCTATTTATTAAGACCTCTT